ATCATACACCCTAGTTGAAGCCCATTTTCAAATCTTGTATTACTGGTGAAGAAAATAAACAAGAACTTGCGATAATGTGTTAATTACATGGCGTTGAATAGGGAAACTATTCCAAATAAGTTTCTTATTCCCATGATTGACCAGTTACTAGATGAACTTGACTTAATCTATTGGTCATGTGGGATGATCTTAATGCTAGATTTTCTTTATTGATCATGTAAATTCTAGACATTAGGTGATGTGTGTTCGGAAAGTATTTTCACATATGCTTTACTTATCAAGCAAAGCATACAACTTATCTAACATCAACTTTTACTGCATCATATGCTTTACTTATCTAATATGATAAGTATTTTCACATAAAAAAATTATCACAATTTTTTGATGTAGTAAAAATATTTGACATGAATTCTGACAAAAATGCAAAATAAAATAAAAAATAAAAAACAACACTAGAGTCATATTTTACTATAATTTGTCTACAATAAACACCCACTAGATACAGGACCCGCGCCTTGCGCGGGAGGAGGTTGATGGTCACAATTTTTTGTATAAATAAAGAAATTGTTCAATCTTTAAAAAAGGTTGAATATTTTGTGTCATTCAATAAATTTCTTTATATACGTATAAATCAGTGTTTTTACGTCTGACCGGAACTGTCCGGTAAGTTTGGTTAACTTGCGACTCGTACATATCTCCGGTTTAGGTTTAGTGCTAATGTCCGTTAAAAGATAGGATTTTAGATTTTTTTGTGTATTCACTATTTAGTTATTTTTAGAACTTTTTCAGTTTTTCATATTCACTATCCTACTATCTTAGTATATTTTATGGTTTTAGTTGGATTAAAAATATTTAATCATGTTACTATTATTGTTAGACTTCATATTTTGTAAAACATGATATGATTATTTTAATTTTAATTTTTCTATTTATAAAACTATATAATCTCTACAAATTTTAAATAAATTAAAATAATAATCAATTGACCCGTGTTTGAACCCGGTTAATCTAGTGACTCAGAAAAAAGTATGCTTCATTGTCTGGATCGGATTTAAAAACATTGATACAAATGTGTAAAAGAAATTGCATGATTATAGACGATTAATGGAGAAAGATTAAGCAAACACGTCATTAGCGACGTTATTCAGCGACTGATAAATTAGTCGCTGAATTTGAGGACTGAATTGCGACATTTAGGCGACTGAATGTTGCCTAAACAACATTAGTCGCTAATCCGTCTGCATTTGGCGACGGATAAGAATAGTCGTTGTATAGTCGCCAAAATAGGTGACTAAGTAGCTTCTGAATGTTTAGTCTCTAAACTGGGCTACTAATTAGCCACTTTATAGCGACTATAATTTCTAATTAGGCCTTTTAATTGGTCTTGGTCCATTAGATTTACTGCGTTGGCCCATAGTATAAATTCCCTATTTCTAACCGAGGAAACCCTAATTCCGCATTTCTCTAACCCTAGATCCCTAATTCTCTCTCTCTCGACGAACCCTAACCCTAACCCTGCAATTTCTCTCCGATTCTCTACAAATCTACTTTATTTAGGTCTAATCGATGGCTCCTCGTGTTCGCGGTGGAAGAGGAAGAGGAAGAGGGAAGAGGGGACCGAAGTCTCCGGTGAAGCGACCCACTGTCGTCCCTACTCGACCCACATCTTCCGGTGTGTCGAGTCGAAGACCAAGGAGCCTTCCGTCGCAGTATGAGTTCACGCCGGTGAACCCTGAAGATCCAAATCATGGGACTGAGCATCTGCCGAATCGCCAGCTTTCACCACAACTGAGTCTAAGAGACTATCCACCTCCGCTACAGCTTTTCCAGTCGGGCGAAGGATCTCAGCATGCAGCTGGTGGATCTCCTCGGGGCTCTGGAACGACTCCGTTTCGAGCATCTGTCTCCTCTGTTCATCGTTTAGCATCCGGCTCTCCCCATGCCTCTCAGTCTCTAGCTCCAGTTCAGCCTCCAGCGCCTGTTCCTTCTCCAGTGGTTAATCAACAACGACCACCAAGAGCCTCTCTGTCTGGTCACAGTTCTCAAGCTCAGAACGTTGAAGAAGAAGAAGCTGCATCGGATGAAGAAGCTGATGATGAAACTGCATTAGAGGATGAAGGTTTGAGGGATTCAACACTCCCAGAAGATGTCCTCGCGACTTTACATGATACGCTTCTCATCCCAGGCCGTGAGCTCTATACTACTCTCATCTCTCCAACTTTAGAGCCTAGAACGACATGGTAAGGATTCTGAATGTTTATAGAATTGTTTGTATAGAATTGTGTATAGGATTGTCTAGAATTGTGTATAGGATTAGGTATGGTTTAGGTCTGTTTGTGTTAAGGTATGGTTTGTGTATAGGTTTAGGTATGGTTTAGGTCTGTTTTTGTATAGGTTCTGATTCTTGTTTAGGGTTTAGGTATGGTTCTGGTTCTTGTTTAGTGTTTAGGTATGGTTCTGTTTAGGTATAGTTTGTGAAGAGGTTTAGGTCTGTTTGTATTCTTGTGTATAGATTGTAAGTTTGTTTAGGTATAGTTTGTATTCTTGTGTTGTATTCTTCTGTTTGTATTCTTGTGTATAGCTAACTGTTTTGTTTTGTTTATGTGATTGTAGGTTTGGTAAGGATAAGGGTAAGCTGACCCGGAAGGTCACCAAGTGTTTTACTAACAAGTTTGATGGACCATACTACAATTGGAGCTGTGTGCCAACTGGAAGAAGAGAAAGATACTTTCTTGAATTCGCTGTAAGCTTCTATCCCTCTTCTACTACTGTATTTTCATATTGTATTTTGATAACTAACATCTGCTTCACTGTCCTCTTGTTTTGGTAGAAAACACACACCTGGCATCCCTCAGTGACAGGTGTGTTTGAAGCCAAGTTCTACAAGATCATTGCACTGCGTATGAAAGACATGGTTAGTAAGGCAAGGTCAAAAAGCCCAAGAGTGAGGCCGTATTGGATTGAGAGAACTCTGTGGAGAGAGATGTGTAAGTATTTGGATACTGAAGAAGCCCAAGCCAAGAGTTCAACCACATCAGCAGCTAGGATGTCTGAACGTAATGGTCTTGGTCCTCACAAGCATGTTTCTGGTCCAAAGTCCTTTTTACAAGTGGAGCAAGAGATGGTATGTTACATGTCTGTTTTAAATACTTGTTTTGTTTATTACTTGCTGACATCTCTGTTACTATATTTCAGGAAGTTGAATTGGGAAGACCTCCTACTATTGGAGAAGTGTTCATCAGAACTCATACCAAGAAGGATGGGACATTAGTGGATAGGAAGGCGCAGGAAATCCATCAGGCATATCTCAAGAACAAGGCAGCTAAGTTGGCTGCCCTGCAAGAGAATGATGAACAGTCTAATGGTAATTCGCGTCAGTCTGAGCTGTCTCATGAGGAGGATGATGAGATATTTCTTTAGGTAGTAGTCTTGTCTTTTGCTCTGTAGTCTACTTTTATCTGTTAAGCACTAATGTTTTTACTTTGTTTTGCAGTCTACTGTCACAAATGATAGAGGGGATTACTTTGGAATTGGCAGCTTAGGGGTTTACATCAACGGGAAGCGCAAGTACGCATGAAGCATCTCTTCTTTCACAACCCTGCAGTCACAGCTTGAGGATGCTAACCGCAAGATAGAGGAACAAGCAGCTCTACAAGCAGCACGTGAAGCAGAGGCATTGCGGGTCGCAGCATCACAAGCAGCTGAGATCAAGCATTTGTCGATGGTGAAGAAGTACCTGAGTGAAACTGACCCTAATTTCCTGGCCTTCCTCAATTCCCAATCAACTCCTGCTGCGGATGATCATTCAGAGGTCCAACCAAATCCAACTCCTGCTGTTAATGCTGATGGTACTACTCCTGCTACTTAGCTTTCTCTCCTCTTAACTCAAAAACTTGAACTTGATCTTTTGGTCTTGTACTTATGGTACAAGTATGTATGTATTTATGTCTTGTGAACTTGATATTTTGGACTTGTACTTTTGGTCTTGTGAACTTGTATGTTTTTATGTTTATTAAGAACTTGTATGTTTTGGTCTTGTGAACTTGTATGTTTTGTATGTTTGGTTTTAATTAGTAAATGCAAACGTAATTGGAATCAAAATAAGCAGGCAAAATCGATAAATAAACCTCCAATAAGTCGCAAAACGATAGCAATTCAGTCACTAAAACATTCATAAAACAGTCGCCTTGTAGTGTCTTTTTGTCGATTCCGCAGTCACCTATTAGTCGCCAAACTAGTCGCCAAATAGTGACATATTAGTAGCAGGACAGTCGCCAATTTAGCGACTCATACGCGACGTACAGGCGACTTCAAATAGTTGTCGCAGAATAGTCGCTATTTAGCGACTATTAGGCTACAATTTATTTTAGCGACGCAGTGTTCGGCGACAACGTTTATTAGTCGCTAATTAGTGGTTATTATGTGTTTAGCGACTCTTTAGTTATGTTTCTTGTAGTCGCTAAATCCATGTTTTCTTGTAGAATTATATATATATATATAATTTACACTACTACATATTATTGATCGTATTATAGATTTTACACTACTACATATTATTAAACGTATTATGGCATGATTATAAGTTAAGTAAAAGTAATAGTCAAACTTTAAATGAATAAAAGAAACTAACTTTAGCATCAATCAAGATTAATTTTGGATGCTTTCACCAACATTAGCAAAGTATTGTAGCCTCTACTACATTTTAATGATCTTGCTAATATAGAGATAAAAGTTGTCTCGAAGCTTCTCTTACTAATATTAGTTACATAATCATTTGTTTAAGTTTGTGGTATATTTATTTTGGAAAGATTTGTTGCATAATTATTTGCAATTTTAATTAGAAATTCATTTTGATTAATGGAATATATGTATGTATAATACTAATGGCAAATTCTGTAAATAGTCTAATAAAATTTGTGCAATTATTTAAATAGGTGACAAATCATTCTGAGAGCGACACGTCAGCATGGCAATCTTGTTAATAACACGTTAATAAAAGGTTTATTTTTTAGAGTGTTTCTCTATTAATATATACTAAGGGATTATTACAAGCTAAAAGTCAAGGTAGATCACACTTTAATTTGCCTCATTAATACTCTTAGGCTATGGTTTCGAAATAAAACTTAAAACAAACTTGATTACTTCTCTAATATCAAAATGAACATCTCTTGTTAATCGTAACCTTAAACCCATGCTTCATTCTAAGAATTAAACTAGTATCTGGTTCAAACTTCTGCCCTTTGGCAACCTTAATGTCATAGTTTTGTAATATCTCCACGGCCACAATCTTCATTTGAATCATAGCTATTTGTTTACCGAGGCATATTCTTGGGCCGGCATTGAATGCTAAGAACTTGAAGGCAGGTACATGTCTCAACTCTCCGGTCTCGGAAATCCATCTCTCTGGCTTGAATTCTGATGCATCTTCTCCCCATACAGCTCTCATCCTACCCACCCCATAAATAAAGACCAAAATATTTGAGTTTGCTTCGACTTTATGTCCACTTGGAAGCACATCTGATTCTACAGGAGACAAACGCTCGAGAGGAACCGGTGGGCAAAGCCTCATTGTTTCACACAATGCGGCCTGTAAATACACTAACTTGTTTAAGTACTCCATTGCATCACAAGATGGCCTCTCGTGGCCACTACTACTTCTTGGTAGAATCGTGTCAATCTCTTGGCGAATCCTAGTCACCACTAGAGGGTTTTCGGACAAAAACGAGAAGAACCAAGTGAGAGCAGAGGCAGTGGTATCTCTCCCAGCTAGAAGTAAAGCAAAGACATTGTCTCGGAGGAACTTATCATTGATAGGATCCATGAGCTGGTACTTGGTTGTATCAAGCTTTATGTGAGATGTCAAAAGATGTTCACTTTCTCCATTATTAATCCCTTGTGATCTTTTAATCTCTTCTCTCCTGGCTGATATGTATTTCGCACACACTCGATCAAAAATGGCACCAGCTTCTATCATCTTCTTCTCTATCCCGACTCCGACCCAGCTTTGTAGCTTCCACAAGAATCTAGGTTTAACATGCCTATAAACGATTCCTTCTACAATAGTGTCCAGAGCTTTAGCGGACTCAATTACTGGCATTTCAATGGAGAGAGATCTAGGATCATCACACCCGGTTACTGTAACTAGAGTTGTATCGAACGTGAACCTCCAGAACACATCTTGCAAATCTACAGTTGTGCCTTCCCGAGCGATATGATTGAAAAGTGGAACAAGCCCGTCCTTAACTTTACTTCTCGTGGTAGTCAATGACAATCTTTGAAACCCTTGATGGTTGATCATGGCCTGAGAAGCTTTCCGCAGATTCTTCCATGCCAACGAGTCCTTTGTGAGTAAAGCATCTTCGAAGGCATCAAAGATCTCTTTGAAGTTGGAACCTTTAACAAAATTGGAGAAGTTTGAGTTTACTAGGTAGTAAATATTAGCTGGATCAGCTGTGAGCAGCATATCCATTCCAGCGAACCACGGTCCCTTGAATGGAAATGTTAACTCGGTGCTTTCAAGAAGCTCCACAGTGAAGTCGTAGATACGGTGGAGCACCAAGAAAAGACCCGGAATCATCCCCACAACACCGGCCAGTTAATTATAAGGAACTGGTAAAGAGGTTTCTTGAAGAGGAAGCGATGGAGGATGAGAAAGCAAATGATGGCTATGGAAACTCCAATTAAGCTTGTTGAAGCCATAAGAGAAGGAGGTTGATAAACAAAGATAATCAATGTTGTGTGTGATGTATTCTTTAATTTGAGTGAAAAGGAAACTTGATTTATAGACAAACTAGAAAGCACGATGATTATGGTCATCTCTCAGTAAGAGATTATGCCCTAAATCCAAGCTAGTTTCTGCATTTTTTATTTGCGTTTACATGTGACCAAAATACAAAATCATATTTAATATAATTTTTTTTTTTTTGGCAAAATCTAAAACACAAGCGTAAAGTCAGAGTAATTTCTGGCCTTGGCCCAATTGGTTTACCTGGTAGCCAGAAATGCAGGCGGCCTAACTACCCCTGGCACTTAGTCGGAAGGCATTCCAAACTCGGGATAGGCAGAATGGTAGCCCGTAAGGGCCTAACCGTTAACACGGTGGACCAGTCGTCCACTATGTAGCACCTTGGTGCGTTCCTACCGGGCCCGACCGGATAGCCGATAGGGTTTATCAAAAAAAAAAAAAAAATTAACAAATTAAAACAATTTGTTGAAGTAGGCATGAGTTTAATTAGTACGAAAATAATGAACTAAATTATTTGTTGGTAAGTAAGACTTTCCAAATAAAGAATAGTGTAAATTCGTTTCTTTCGTTTTGTCGTTCCCCGTTTTTTGTATAAATGTATTTATTTGTATTTTGATATCTTTGAAATGATATTTAAAATTGATCTGACAACTATGAGCTATCCAGTCCAGTGTTTTGCACTGGCCACTGTGCATACTAACCACAAATGGATGAGACATATTAAAGTTTCACCAATCACCAATATCTTTCCCAATCTCCAGTCACCATAATACTTGGTATCGGTAGGACTGTGTGGACGATTTCTAAAATGGTCCATCATTTCAATAACTCCAAAGTAATGTTTTAACAATATCTTTGCCGATTTGATAATATGGACATAGTATATGGCACGTCAATCGATTTTACTGAGACCAGGACTGACTCTAGGAGGACCAGTGTGACATAAGTCGATCCACAGAATTTAAGAGCCCTTAAAAGAATCTGTAAATAATCTTTTTTTTTTTTTTTTCATCAATCTGTAAATAATCAAAATTTCACAATGTGGTAAATATAGATATTTAGTTGTAATTTATGCATAGTAAAAGTTCTACAAATTTATTTATAGAAAGATTTGTTATATCATTTAAGATTTTATCTTAATATTATAGAAAAATATGAGGTGAGATAATTTGATTCACATAAAACTAATATTTTGGATGCTATAAATTTTGTAGTTTCAATATTTAGAAATAGAACTCTTCTGACGATAAATAACAAAATTAATAATTGAATTCACTTATAAAAAGTTAAAAACAATATACATAAATTTAAATATATGATTAATTTTTGTTGTTATATTTTAACAACAACTTATGAGACTATCGAAATAAAAATAATGCATATTGAGAAGTTAAAAAAACTTATAAAAAGTATTGCATATTTTAGTGACGAGGTTATAAACAATACTACAATATGGTAATTTAAAAATGGGAAAATTGAAAATAAAGGACAAATAATTAAATTATTGTCCATCTATGCATTCTATATTCATGATTGGTCATATATACTTTAATATTGGTCATATATGATTTCATATAATTAAAATCCCAATATGCCTCCAGTCTTTTAAATTCTTACTAAACTATTAAAAAAATTCAAAATTAAATTGATTTATTTCTAAAAACAATTTGGAAAAAATATAGCACAAAATCAACATTTATTTACATTCCATTATTTGTTTTGCCGTAGATAATTTCATATCTTCTTCTTCTTTGATTCTCTTGCTCATCAAAGTTAAGCTTTCGTAATTGTTCTCACCTCTCTAATAACGCCATATTAAATATATTTTTTTTCTTCTTCTTCTTCGATCTCTCTCGCTATCTCTCTCCCTTGATTTCAATTTCTTTATGGAGCGCAACTATAATTTTCCGGGTTTTGAAACAAAAAATTAAGCGTAATCTATAGGAAAAATTGTTAAGTATAAAGAAAAATCTAATTTGTGTTATAATTTATTCACTTAGGTATAAAGAATTTTAAAGTGTTCAAAATTCAACTAATTTTCCGGGTTTTGATTCACTTAGGTATAAAGAATTTTAAAGTATTCAAAATTCAACTAATTTAACGGGTTTTTTTTTTGTCAACCACACATTAATTAATAAATAACTTCTTGATTGGTTGCCCAACTAGGAGGAGAAGTTAAGCGTTTTGTGAAGTATAAAGAAAAATTCTAATTTGTGTTATAATCTATTCACTTAGGTAAAAAGAATTTTAAAGTATTCAGAATTCAACTTCTGTAATTTGCAGATGTAATCAAATTCACTATATTCAATTTCCATATTTTAAGATTTTTTTTTTAAATCTAAATTAGATAGAATGTACTTTCTAATTTTTATAGAATAAAAAAAAATCTTAAGAATATGTTTTCTAACATTCTTAGAACATGAGTAAATGTTAGAAAACATATTCTAATTTTTGTAGAACAAAGAACAAAGTATAGAATATGTATTCTAAAAGTCGTAGAAACTAGTATTCTAAATATCGTAGAACGGAAATGACTTCTAAACTTTGTAGAACATGTAGAGTGTGTAGAATACATAATCTAAATTTTGTAGAACATGTAGAGTGTATAGAATATACATTCTAATTTCAGAAGACATATTCTAAACTTTATAGATCAAATTATATCCATCTAAAACGAAAACAAAACAATATATTTTTGATATTTTATATATCTTCATGTCTTCTTTATCATTTTAAAACATATTTTTCTTAATTATTTTTGAAACAATTGGTTCAATCTTATGCAAGGGGTAGTTTAGGAATAGTTGATATTTGTTCATAGAATTCATATATGGACAAATACTTAAATATTTATCCTTTATTTCTAATTTTCCCTTTAAAAATACAAGACTGCAACTGTTTTTTTTCTCTGGCTCATTTGAGACAATTAATTAAAGTTGTTGAAGAAAAAAACAATTGTTTCATACAATAAAATTAGAGAAGAACTCTAATTGTATCAAGCAATTGTTGTCTTGTATTTTCAACTGAGTTCTACTCTATATATATATATATATATAATAGGAAAAATTGGAAATAAAGGATATCTACTTAAAAATTTGTCCATATACACTTTTTTTGTGAGATTATCAGTTTGGACGATTTTACCCCTACACCCTAATTTAAATGTTTTTTTTAAAAAATAATCATAAAAACATGTAGATATACAAGAGTATAAGTGATTTGAAGTGGAATTTTTTTGATTTGGTTTAAAAAAAGTTGATTTTTTGATAGATAAAGTTTCATCTAATTTTGGTAGAACACGTTTTCTAGAGTTCTGCGAAACTCAGAACGTGTATTCTGCATTTTTATACATGTTCTACGTATTTCAGATAAGATTTCTGTTCTGAGAATTTTAGAAATCCTAAAATCCTAAATCTAAAATATTTAGAACATGCATTCTACGTTTTTCTCTATGTTCTAAATATTTTAGAATAGACGTTCTAATAATTTCTACATCTTCTGCCATCGTTAGAAATTGTAATCTGAGTTTAGAATGTATATTCTACGGTATTGCAGATTTCGATTTCTGTAATTTTTAGAATGCTCTAAATATAGAAAGTAAATCTTTAGAAAAGGAAACAAAATATTTTTTTTAGATTACGATTTAAATGAATATTTATTGTTTAGATTACGATCTAAAAGATGTAGAAGTTGTTGTCTACGGTTTTTAGACTAAGATTAAAACCTAAAACGTTTTCGAAACCCTAAAAAGCTACACGGCTTAATCCTACACGTCTTAGTCCACCACTTTTGATTTTATTCTAATAATTTTCGTTTTGCTATTTTGAGTATAACATTCACTTAAACTTATATTTTTGTTTTTTGTGTTTTGATTTATAGATTTAGTATTAGTTAAGTCCGTGGTTTAGTTTTGAACTATGGATTCAATTCTACTTATGATCATTTTTTGTTATTGAGTTCGTCTCTAATGTTTGTGTTCATAATCAAGTTTGTAATGGATCAAATTATACATGAGTAGAACACGTATAAAACAGATAAGCACAAGAAGTAGTGGAGAACAAAAAATCATCTTGCTCGAGCTAAAAGGAGATATTAGAGACGAACTCAAGAAACTTACTTTCATAAAATGCCTAAATAATTAGGAAAAAAAACAAAGGTCATACAAACCACATGTCGCAAGACTAGTACATAATCTGTTTGCACGATAAAAAAAACCATAATGCTAATTAATCTCAATCAATTTCAAGGATATCCGACAATTGATGTGGAGGTTTATAGTTCTCCATTCGCTCAATTAAGATAGGATCATGAGCAGCCTCCCAAAGGTCTACATCAATCTTCATGCGCGCCTCTTTGATGTTCCTATCGTTTATCAAATCCATGCTTAGATTAAACATATGACACTCAATGTGGCAAAGCATCTTTGATTTTCCTAAGTATCGATAATCTGCAGCTGTTGTTAATTTTCTCAACTTCAGGCTCTTTACCCATGTCCGAAAAGGCGCTTGGGAAACTCCTTAGTAGTGGCTGCACATAAAAAACAAAACATATGTAACTTAAACCATTCACAGTGATGGACTAATTATAGTGCATAGTTGCAGTTAGCATACAGAAATTAGTATGTTAAAGAACCTGATGTCTTACTCGTGCTTCCTAGATTGTTTTCCATTGATAACCTTTGATGTAATGTAGATCCAAAACCTGAAAATAGAGAACAAACTAGCTTTATCAAATATTGAAAGTTATTAAGAGACAAAACACTTGATATTAAAATAAACCTAAGAGCTTCACAATGTCAAAATTTAAGAGCTGAGAGTTTAATCAAATATCTAAACAGCTCAAGAAGGATCACAAAAGAATTCTAATTTCATAAACTTAAGAGCTGAGAGTTTAAAATCAAATATCTAAACAGCTCAAGAAGGATCAATGAATTCCAACACAAACACATATACATTAACATGAATCAAAGAGATAGAAGACTTAATCAATCTACATGCAATTGAAATATTTCCAATGACGATATGTGGATGGCTTTAGCTAAAAAGATTTACAATTGACTTAGATGTAGAAGATTTACAAGAGACAAAATCTATAACTAATAAAAAAAACAAGACACGTACTTGAGCTACTCACGACACACACACACACACAAATAGTGGACTAAACAGATCAAAAAGAGAACAAAAAGATCACTTCGATTGTAATTTGGAATCAAAGAGCGAAAGACTTATTCAATCTACATTCAATTTAAATTTGGAATTTTAAAACTCACCAAATTGAAACCTTTAATCGAGTTTCACGAATTCAAAGATATTAACAACTCTACATGCAAATTGAAATTGTGACTTGCAACTAAATCGAGAGAACAAAAAGATTCACATCGATCTACAAGTCTCAAATCTAATTTTTGTTTATATGAACGCAAATTTCTAAACGAGTAACAAAAATTGTGACTTGAGATGAGAAAAAGACATAATTTCAATCACAAAAAAGAGTAGAGCAACGTACCTATTGATTCAGTTTTCAATCGTCGCCCAGATGAACACCGGAGGACCAACAATGCCGGAAAACACGCAGTCGGTGGAGATACGGCGGTGGGCTCGTTTGAGAGAGACTAGGGTCCTTTTTGTTTTACCTCGACATGTTCATCTACGACAGGGAAAAAAAAACAGTTAATTAGGTCTAGGTGATTGAGAGACTCTTTCTCAAGTGGAAGGTTTAGATTTCTATTTAATTTTAGTAAATACATTACATAGTTTAATTTTTAAAATCAATTTTTATTAATTTTGAGAGAAAATGAGGGTAAAATTGGGTTTTTTATTTTCAAAAAACCTATTTGACCAATCTACAAGAAGAAGGGATATATGGACAAATTTTTAAGTAGATATCCTTTATTTCCAATTTTTTCTATATAATATGTATTCATAATTGAACTGAGTTTTGTGTCCTTTCATGACCACGAGCTCATTACAAACCATGTGTTTTGTGTCCTAAGCAGGTCCGACCCAGAGGATAAGCCACTGAAGCCACCGATATGGGCCTCAAAATTTGAGGGTCTTTTTTACCTAAAAATTTGTTAAGTTTTTTATATACAGTAATTTTTGTAGGGCTTTTAGAGACAACTAAAATATTTTTTTTAATGGTAAAAATATAATTTAAAAGAAAATCTTTTTAATGGGCTTTAAGTTTTGCTTAGGGCACCCAAATTTTCCGGGCCGACACTGGTCCTAAGTATGGGAATCATTGAGTCACTTAGATTCCTTTTTGGTGTGTGTTTATATGTTTTTTTGGGTACCATTTTAGTATCTTTTGGAATTGGAGAAGTTTGAGGTTGATAGGTATTACCGTATTAGGTAGTGAATATTAGCTCAATTAACTGTGACCACTGACCAGTATATCCATTCTCGCAAACCAATGTCACTTTGGTCGTTTTACTTCTCCACGAGAAAAAACATATTCCCTCTGTTTCATAATATAAGTTATTTTAGCTAAAAACACGCAGATTAAAAATATCTATTTTTAAAAATTTCAACCAATCATAAAAGAGACTGCATAATATAAATAATTATAAAATATTAAAATAATATATAATTTGTATAGAAACTTGAAAAACGACTTATATTGGGAAACAAAAAAAGTTTATCCAAAATAACCTATATTATAAAACAGAGGAAGTATATTTTTAGGGAAATTGCTAAAAGCCTAAAACTGACTCATGAATGAGAATTTTTTATATAATAATGATACTCTAATTACTCTAATTTTTCGAATCCTATCCGAAGTAGTAAGATTTCGGGAGTGTATCAGGTAGTGAATTTTATGTCCCAAATTTTTCATATGGAATCCAATATCCAATATCCCATTCCCTTATTTATGAGAATTCTTCGGAAAATATGTCTAGTTAATTTCTCGAACTATCTGTTCACAACTCTTATCCAATAATTTCCGGTTCCGTTACCCGTTATGGACTAATGGTTTATCTTAAAACGCTGCTGTAAAACGAACAATGCGAGTGTCTCTTCCGAGAAAAGTGACTTTGGAGAAACCTTAATCCAATTTTAGTAGATCAAATTATCAATCATCATTCTCTCATCTTCATCGCATGAAGATATTTTCCATTATTTATTTTGTATAGTTAGAGGATTTTACAACCATTAACTCAAGACAACCACTCAATATTAATGCTTCTTTATTTTTATTCAATTCTCACCCACTTTATGTAATCGATATTCCCTCGGCAAATATTTAACTTAAGGTGATTTGCCAGTAAAATCAACCAAGTTACAACTTCGGTCATTGCCAAAAACTCAACCACATATCAAACTAAGAGAGATGGAAGAAGAACTCAAGAGTTTGATAAAAGTATTGGTTCTTACAATAATCTCCATATCTTATTGTTACTATTTGCCACCCAAAATCAAACCAGGACTTCCTCGATTCCTCTCTGTTTTCCCCATCCTTACTTTGTTTCTTGTTCTTCCTCTGTTTTTCTCCACTGTGCATTTATCTTTCATCACAGCATTTTTCCTCACATGGCTCGCAAATTTCAAACTCATCCTCTTCTCCTTTGATAAAGGTCCTCTAATCCCAATTCCCTCAAATCTCTCCCGATTCCTCTGCTTTACTTGCTTCCCAATCAAAGCCCAGCAAAACCCTAAACCTCAGACCCATTTGCCCATATTGGTTTTCGCCACTAAAGTTGCTATCTTTGGTGTGTTATTACATTTGTATGACTACAAACAAACTCTGCCTCCTCTTCTGCTATTGGGACTCTATTTTTTACATCTATACCTAGAGATTGAGATTATTCTGACGTTACTCAAAGTTTTTGTTTCTATCTCTCTTGGCTGTGACCTTGAGCCACAGTCTAATAAACCATACTTAGCCACATCTCTACAAGACTTCTGGGGTCGCCGATGGAATATTATTGTTCCTTCGATTCTCCGGCCAGCCGTTTACACACCAATGCGGCAAGTCTCTGAACGTCGAATGAGCTCCGATTGGGCTCTGTTTTCTGGTATCTTGGTGACGTTCATCGTCTCCGGTTTGGTTCACGACTTGCTTTTCTTCTATTTAACTCGTGAAATGCCCACAGGGGAAGTTACTTTGTTTTTCATATTACATGGCGTTTGCCTTGCGGCGGAATTGGCGGTGAAGAAGAAGACGACGGTGATGCAGCGGTGGCGGTTGACTCCGGCGGTTTCGAGGATACTCACAGTGGGGTTTGTGTTTGTAACTGGTTCTTGGTTGATGACACCTCAGCTTGCAAGGAGCGGCGTTATGGAGAAATACATCAACGAAGCTTTGTTTTTCGTTAGTTTCGTAAAGCACAAGTTATTTTAGTCTCTTGGGGATATTTGAAACGAGTGTTAGTTAATTAAGCACAAGTTAACATTATTTAGCCTTTTAAGAGTGTTTACAATCTGTACTTTGGTTTGGTTTAATTCTTGTTTTAGAAAAGAAAAGGATAGGACAGTTTCATTCATTAAAAATGTTTGACAGAAACATAAGATTGAAATGGTTCTCCCAAATCTTTTACACATCTTTTCCTAATCAGGGATCAAACTGACCTATAAAAAACAACAACTAACAACAGTTAAAATTCCTAAGTCTCGTGACATGAAGACGGAGATGAGTTCCCTGAGCCACCCAAAAACTGAAGCTCTTTCTTATCATAAATCTCCAAAGAAAAATCCCTCAGCGGTTGCGTCGCACCACCACCACCGCTCGTTTCCATCTCCGGTTCAGCGGCTGAAGCGTTTGAGACGTCGTAACTAGACACCGGCGTAGCACCAACGTTTAGAAACGAAGCTGTAGCAACGGTAGGAATAGCCCACATTTGGCCCATTTGATTCGGCCCACCAGTAACATACGCAGTACCCATGCCCATAGGCCAAAACGGCATCAACCCATGCGTATTGACGTTCAGGATATTAACACCGTAATTTGACGCCGTTATCGGAGCTAACCCAGAAGTAACGGAGCTGTAACAGCTGTCATGTTCATTAACGTCTACGAACTCACTCGTACAGTTTCTCTTCCTCCGTTTCTTCATTAGGTCACCGTCACCGTCACCGTCACCACCGCCGTTATTCTCCACTGGAGCGCTCGTCGGTATTTTTAAAGTTCCGTTAACCGAAACAGCAATAGCCGGTACAGTCCCGGTTCCGGTTGCTTCAATTATCGCCGGTTCAGCTCGTTCCAATAACCACCGAATCGTTTCTCCGTCAGATTTGTGACCAAGTTCACGGGTCAATTGAAAGACCCGAGCAGCGCAACCCGCAGGCATTCGGATCCTCCGACCTCGTCCTTCTACTTTCGTGTGACGGTCTTTAGCCGGTCTCTTCGGAGCCGGTTTAGTCATTACCGGCTGCAAATACCCGTCTTCTTGTTTCATGAGCATCATCATACCCGGTTTGGTTTTCGGATTCGGGTCAGACAGATGGGTCATGGTTGCTACTTGGTCAATCTCTTGTATCGCTTTGCCTTCTTGATTCGATTCCATTTACACAAAACCCTAAAAAATCTGAATGTCACAAAACTTCAAAATCAGTCAAAATGTTTAGTTTTTACTGAATATTTTGCAGGAAAATGTTATCTTTTTCAATTCGAACCTTAAAAAGTTTGAATTTTTTTTTTGTAAATTAAAGAACAGTGATAAAAAAAAAAGCTGAAGAAACCCTAGAAAAGTAGAAAAATAAAAAGTTCAAAAGCTAACCTTATCCTCTGCACGAACCCTACAAAAATGGAAGAAGGGGCCCTCAAGATCATCGTTTCATTTTTATAGTCCATTATCAAATCAACGGTCTAGATCACATCTTGACAGCTGAACAAATATGGGCCTAATGGGCCTTGGCCTCTACCACATGGTCCATATCTCTCTCTCCAACCTACTGAATTTGGAAGCTAAGTTTTTTAATGAACAGATTACAAGTAGAAAGAAATTTACTTGAAATTTCATTGATTGTTGAACCGGTTTTGATTTAAGAAGTGAACCAAACCAAACCAAAGCCAAAACTAGGCTATATAAACTAGACTACTTCACGGTTCTTGTGTTCAAAAACATGAACACCACATCTCCCACTCTCTTTATCTACAAATTCTGAATCTAAAAACCGAGCAACGAAAATCCAAAGCTTATAAACATCTTCGAAATTAGCAAGAAACCCTAACGCAGCAGTGAGAACAGAGATTCCCGGTTCGTCGATGTCTCTGTTTTTTTTCTTCTCAAACACTCTATCTTTCACTCCTTCGTTGTCCTCTTCGAACAAGATGTTCTTCAAGAAACCTTTTCCGATTGAGATATTGCTGCTATCGGCTAGCTTCTGCACGATAAAAGGTTCGATTTTTTCGCCATTTTGGTTGAATAGATTGAATGCAACCGCTGGTCCTCGATTGAAATTAACCTTTGGACCGTAGATTTTGACGAGACGACTAGTTGTTGAATGTTTGAGTTTGTAGAGAGCACTTACTAACCAATTTATCAAGCATCTTGACCTATTCCCTGTTGCTACCAACCCTAGTGAGTCCACATGATCTAGGCCTTTGTATTCGACGCTAGAACTAAAGCTATATGTTTCATCCAATTCTGTTTGTGTCCGGCTGATTTCTTCCAACGCGTGTAACGAAAGCGGATTGTCTGTAGGTACGAGGTTAACCATACCTGAGCCAGTGGAAGATTCAAGAATCGGAATGGTGGATTTCTTGACAAACAAGCAACCAAATCCCGAAGGGTTTTCTCCAAACACCTTGTAGAACGAACACACCATGAAATCGGGGTTATATATCGAGAGACCGAAGCTGTCCATATCCTTAGGTCCCAAACCACAAGCATCGATCATCACATGCCACCCATTTTCTTGCGCCACACTCATCCATAGATATGGATACCTAGATCCTGTAACCCTAGAATGAAGCGGAAAGACGAAAATACCTTTCTTCTTCTTCTTGCTTCCGTTTTTCCCAGCAGTGACCATCTTCCTCAGCTTGGACGAACAGAGTTTGAGTCTTGGCCATGAGAATTCAGCCGCAACTACTTTGGCTCCACGTTTCTCAGAGACTCTGTTTATTTCATTCACCGCCTCGCTTTCGTAGTCGTAAACCGTCAAAAGCTTTCGTTTTGAGTTAAACGGGTAAGACTCAGCGACGAGCCTGAAAGCAGAAGTTCTATTGGCGGTGAAGACCATTGAGTAGTCTTCCTCGGAGATTTTGAGAAAACCCATGATTCTTCTCTTTATCGAGTACTCAAATTCTGTTTCTTGACCTCCATCGTGGAGAAGCTTCTCCTTGAGGTTACCAATCTTGGGAGACACACTAAAGAAAGGACTTTCAGACAAGGAAGAGGAGATCTGATAAGTGGAAGGGTCGTAGTTGAGCAACTGAGAGTAAGAGTATAAACCAATTCCAATGTAATCAAGACACGTGTAATGTGATAACCCCAAGTGAAAGTAGTGGTCGGATCTGATACGGTCGATCTTGTAAGTGTCGGAGTAATTGGGGTAAGCTTGGATGAAATCGGAGAAGGATTTTTGATGAGAAGGGAGAGAATTTGGGTCGACGAATTCGGTGTCCGGGAAGATGGTGGAGACCGTGGTTTGGGCGAAATGACGGCGGAGAGTGGCGGATGTGACGGTGGGGATTGAATCTGGTGGGTGTTTGGAGGCGGCGGCACCGTGAAAAGGTGACGATGAGAAGCAGCCGTGAAGGCAGTTTGGTGGTGGTGAATCTCCCGGAAATGGTTGAAGCATTTTCTTCCTCTTTTTGGTGCAAAAGATGTATGTGTGTGTTTGTAATTGTCAAGTCATTAGCCTAGCTTGTGTTAAATAAATACGCTAAAGTTTTTTTAAAGTAGTGCACCTAAGACAAAAGCTTATTTCTCTTTTCTTTTACCATGTCTCATATGATAAAGAATGTTTTCTCTTTTTAATTGATTTCGATTTGATAATAAGAAAAGAGTATGTCCTTGGTAAATGCCAAAATTTAGTGTTTAAAGTATATCAGCCGAATGAGCCAGAGGAAGAAACTAAACAAGTGCACTAAGCCACTAAGTGTGTAGTTAGTACGAAATGTAGTGGAATGGTCAGAACAAGCATATGCAGTGAGCAGTGTGTACGGATTAAAAGATATGAATAATTTTTACCATAATTTTTATAAGTTCTTACATTGGAAGGACCTAATATAATTATTATTGAATAAAAACGTATGACCAATGATAGCAATTCATAGAAAAAACATATAATATCCGAGTATAAACGCAATCATATAGTTTGAATAGTATGCGGTTTTTTCATGTTCACTTTCGAAAACTTTTGATATATAAGAAAACGTGAAAATAACAAGTAATTTTCTAATTTATCCCGCAAGTTTTAAAACTAAATTATAGACATTTTGTTTATCTAGTAAATAATAGTTTTTTGGAGTGTTTTAAGAAAAGTAATTTCTGTTTGGTTTTAAAGTGTTATCGTTCTATTGATTTCGCTATTCATAATTCATCTATTTTTTTTATCTGTTAATCTAATATACTAGTCAAATGTATAAATGAAAGCGTATAAACTACCATAACTTGAGTTTTCGTCCTGAAGTATTCATTAATTATTATACAACGTCTCAATACTCAATGACCCCACTCACAACATACTAAGATTTCGTTGAAATTGTGGTGGTGTTACATACATAATTACATGAGACAATTGCGCTGGTAATAAAACTACAAGATGTTTTTCTCTTTCTAGAACCTATATGAGAAAAAAGAAAAGCAAAAGCAAATTAGCCGGGAATAATGATGATTATCAAGAAAAAACTGAAAAGTGTACACTTCGTCTTGTTTTCGCAAGTTTTCTTTTCAGAACGCGTAGAGCTTAGTGGTCAAGAAAGTGTTTTTGTTTTTTTCACTTTTGTTTCCTTTAGCTATTTACAATGCTTACATGCTAAGATATACCACTATGCCCATTTGAGTAAACAAAAACAGTCAATATGTTCAAGTCGTTATGTTTTTATTTGTAATATGCATCATATATCTTTTATATTCTTTTAGTGCGTACATAAACTCTAATTTTTTTTCCTATCAAATTAATAGCTATCAAAAGAACACTGATCATCTGTTGGTATATCGGCCTTGCCCTTCAAGGTATTAATTAATTACAACGTTATCAGAAAGTGCAAAACATCATTACACTGCAATACAGTAGTACTTGTTTATTTCTCATGTTAATGTATTAGCGTAAAGAGGCCAAAGTAATGTGGTCGTGGTGGTGGGTAAAGGAGCACGCGAACCGAGGATTATAATGATGAGCGGGAATTAATTTCACATTTTAGAAATCTTGCTTTTTGAAGAATGTAGTTTCCCAAAATTAGTCATTAAGAATATGAAAAGTTGAATTTTTGATAACCGGGTTTTCGATTAATCAAATAAAATGGCTACAATGTTTCAAAAAGAAGAAATAAAATTGAAACTAAGAAATTTCTTTGGAGGTAGTGAAAGAATGTCAATGGTCTTTCTGTGTTCCGATTAAGGTGACAATGCAACATTGCAAGAGGGAGACCCTTTCGAGGCTGTTTTGAAGTATGCTAGAAGAGGAATTAAAGATCGATAATTATTACATGCTTGTTTTTTTCTATTGTGTGACCAATAACTTCGAAGACATGTGATGTCAATTTGTCTTGCTTGAGTATGCATTCTGCTGTTTATTTCCTTCCAAAGTTCATAGCTTTAAGTATTGCCACTGAATGTTTAAATTCAAATCACCTCAACGGTTCATCATCATGCTAGTGATCTCATCGTATAGGTGCAGAAGAAGGTGACAAATCCCATCAATTGCGTTTGAAAAACCGAAGACAGTCTGGGTGAATTTGTTGCCGGTTGAATAATCATTTTCATCTATATATTACACACACCAAAAACAAGTAATCGTATTTATTAAGGTTTTATTTTAAACTAATAACGTGAACGTACGTGACTTTTCAATTATTATTATTCTCAAGAATATGTTAATAACTATACAGATGGAATACTGCATAATACATGTGTAAGAAAAATTAATATAGCAATGTCAAGAACATTTTATTTCGTCCTCACATGGCATAACATGATTAGTCAATTTGTTATATATGAGGGCTTAAAAACTCTTTGCAGATCTGACTTTGACTTTTCATAATATATATTTTGCAATCGAGTATTTGGCTTTGCTTGGTAACATAAGCTCATTGCTACAATGACCATCATCTCATGTATATTTCGTAATATTCTCGTCGCAATTTTAATCTTATCTGGCTCTTGTTATTGCGATAAAGGTACGTACAATACTATTTTCCTATAGATACCATTTAATGTGTGATGATGATTTTTTTTTCATGATTCATGATTTTTTTTTTTTTGTAAAGCCGGACATTATACATTTATGAAAGATGCAACATTGGCACCAAAGCATGCTCGTTTCGACTACATAATCATCGGTGGAGGAACCGCAGGTTGTGCATTAGCCGCAACACTCTCTCAAAACGCCAGCGTTTTGGTTCTAGAACGCGGTGGCTCGCCCTATGACAATCCCACGGCCAGTGATATTGGCAACTTCGCCAACACACTCTTTAACAACACACCGAACTCATGGTCGCAGCATTTCATCTCCGAGGACGGCGTTTACAACACACGGCCACGTGTCCTCGGTGGAGGCTCGGTAATAAACGGTGGATTCTACACGCGTGCGGGCGATGATTACGTGGATGAAGCTGAGTGGGAGATGGAGGAAGTGGAAGCTTCTTACCAGTGGGTCGAGAAGAAACTTGTGTTCAAGCCACAAGTAATGGGATGGCAATCGGCGTTCAAAGATGGGCTTTTGGAGGCTGGAGAGTTTCCGGACAATGGTTTCACGTACGATCATATCTACGGGACTAAGATCGGTGGTACGATCTTTGACCATGCCGGTCATAGACATACCGCGGCCAATTTGTTAGAGTATGCTGATCCGGAGGCGATTGTTGTTTACTTGCATGCTTATGTTCACAAGATCCTCTTCACCACCAAAGGTAATTAATTTACTCATATTCATATTTTTATCTTTTCATTTCCTAAAGCATTATAAATTTCGGTAACAAAAATAAAATAAAAAATGCTACAAGTCATTTAGAAAGCAATTGTAGAAACTACCGAAATTAGTTGTAAATTTTTTTGAGATGATATTTTCTAAAAGTTGTGAAATATGTAGAGAATAAAACGTAAAAATGGTACTTTGTGTTATTTTAACAAAACAAATTACGTAGAATGATCAATCAGTGTTTTTAATATCGAGCTACACAGTAAATTGTTCAAGTATTAGTGGACAGCCAGATTTATTGATTTTTTTTGTGTGCCCACCGACCTTATTTAACCCCATACATAATATATTACAGAACTTGAACCCATGGAATCATTTTCCTAAATGACTCCTTTTATTCTTTTATTACCGTAAAACCTCCATAATAATCGATAAATTAATAATCACTATAAAGTAATAAATTTCTCCGATCAATTCCATAACATTTTGACACAATTCCATAAAATAATAAGAAATAACGTTTTAAAAAATCATATGTAAATATATGATCACATCAATACTATAAATTAATAATTATATAAACTTATCAAATATATATATATATATATATATATATATATAAAAGAAAATTTAGTGAAATCTGACTCTTTATTCTTTGTTTTTCTTAAATTTACATTATTTTTAAGAGAAATTGTTAAAAATGCCCCTTTTTCAATACCCCTTTTCAAAAATACCCCTTTGAGAGTCCATTTTTAAGTTTGCCCTCTTTTAATTTTTAATGACCATTTTACCCTTATTTGAAACAAAATTAGGTCTACAAAATACAAAATATTTTTTTTGCTGGAAAAGTGATCCCGCAATTTTCCCGCCAAAACACTTGTAAAAACCTTTAAAATACCTTGTAAAATTTTCCCGTAAAAATTGTTCCCGCCAAAATTTTTTTTTTGCGGGAAAAGTGATTCCGCAATTTTTTTTATCGAAATTTTTTTGGCGGGAAAATTTACAAGGTATTTTAAAGGTTTTACGGAGTATTTACAAGTGTTTTGTAAGGTTTTACAATGTATTTTAAAAGGTTTTATAAGGTACTTATAAGGTATTTATAACTTGTAAAACCTTATAAA